TCTTTCTTTCAGGAGAACAGGGTTCAGAAGTCAAAAATCTTTATAGACGCCGCTTTTAAATTAAGCAGAAAATAGACATTGACATATTTGTTAATCTCCCCTAAATCATTACTGGGGCTGGCTACTTTGCTGTACAAGGAGAGGGGGGCCCTCAGTTTGCACACAAGTGTATATAACTAGCTTAAGAGCAGGCTTTTATTTTTTGGAAAATAAAAATTTTAAAGCCTTTTTTCCCCTAATACAAGCACACAAATTCTTGTCCTTCTCGTGTGCATTTTTTTTTTTCCTTTTTGTCTTTTTTCGTGACCGGCAACGGATCGCAACCCTCAGTGTCGTGCCAGTACCGGACCGGGACCGGCAACGGGATCACAACCCTCGGTGTTGCGTCCGCACCTTGCTCAGCCAGTGAGCAGGAACCGGTCTGTATGTAGGATCCAACCCCTCGGCGGGAGCGCCACCGCGCTCCCAAGCGGCGCACTGTAGCAGTGCGCCACCGGGCCGGCCCATTCTCGTGTGCATTTTAAAACACATACATTCTCTACTTTTGTTTGTTTTTTCTTTGCTTTGATGCTTTTTTGAGGTGGGTCTTGAACTGTGATCAGAGGCATTACTGAAGGAATCATGGTCTTTCTAGTCTCAGGAGGGCCAGGGCATTACAGGTGTTTATTTCATTATTCTTTCAAAGCTCTACAATAGCTTGATTGGGTGAGTGAGAACTTTGTTAGCCCAGGAGCTAGCCTCCTCTGTTCCTCCAACTTGGTAAAGCCAAATCCTTGTTTCCAGAATGCTCTCTTCCTCAGCCCATAGCTCCTCCCATTTCTGTACCCCATGCTGAACCTTGTTCCTTCTTGCTCACAAAACAAACCAACTCACCAGCTGTTTCCCCTTCTGTGACCACTGCCAGGATATCTGCTTGGCCACCTTCAGTACCATTTAATGTGGAAGAGCACAGGCTTAGAGGCAGCCAGACCCAAGTGTAAATCCTGACTTTGCTACTTAAGAGCTGGATGCCATTGGGCAAGTCACTTTACAATTCAGAGCCTTGGTTTTCTTGTTTGTTAAATAGATACCCTGTCTGTAAGGTTGGGTTGTTATAAGGGCTAGAGATAATGTACACAAAGCAACGTGGAAAGCACTTAGTAACGTGGAGGGATTCAGCTTGGCAGCAGTGTTCATAGTTGACCAGAATAGGTCTGAATTGTACATGGTGACTTATGAGCTATGTGATCCTGAAAGATTCAAGTGCAATGCCTGGCACAGAGTAAATGCTCAATAAATGGTGTGTTGTATATGATCCACATATATGTATATAACAAGCACAAAGTTGGTTGTTTACCCAGAGGGAGAATGTTGTAAGGGTCTAGAACTCACTGTTCAGCCATGTCTACAGTCCTGCCATCCCTTGCCCTCTAGCAGGGCTGTGATTTTCCCTGTTTTTGTGTTAGTTCTTGATATCACAGTAACAGGAAAACCTACCCTTCAATCTCAGGCCTGCCTTGGAAATAGCATCTGACCTGTAGGATGGAAATTATTGTATTCATTGTTACATTGTCCTGGTCTTAATTATGGAATGGGACCAAGATGGAACTTCAGCATTATCAGCCAGTCTGCCATCATCACTTAGCCTTTTCTGATTCTGCATTTTTGGCAAGAATACTGCCGGAGTGATGTTCTGTCCTTCTTAGGACATCATCTCAGGAGGCACATGATGTCAGTCCGTTATATTATTGGTGATGGTAATACTACTGAAGCACTCATCTTCTGCACCAAATGAGCAAGAAGAGGCAGCATAACATAGTGCTCAAAAGCTTTGGGAGTCAAACTGCTGCATTCGAGTTCTGGCTCTGTTACTTTCTAGCTTTGTGACCTTTATAAGTTACATAAATTCTCAGTGCCTCAGTTTCCTCACCTGGAAGATGGGGATAATAATAACACCAACCTCATAAGGTTGTGGAGATTAAATGAATTAACAGGTATAAAACACTTAGAATGGCACCCAGTGCCCTATAAATATTAGTTTGATTATTGATTGTATGCATTGGATAGCCAGGAAAAACTATTCTTTTTCAGCTCGGCTAATATTTTCGAAAACTTTTCATTTGATATAATTTTACAGAACATTTACAAGAATAATACAAACTTCTAATGGCTTTTTCTCAAATTCACCTGTTAACATCTTGTCCCATTTCTTCGTCATTTGTGCATGCTCACGTGCATGCATGTACTCATGTTCCCTCTCACTCCACACAATTTTCTTTGAACCATCTGAGTAATCTGTAGACATCATGCTCCTTTATCCATAACTACTTATATGTGCTTCTAAGAATACAGACTCTCTCTTACCATAGTACATTTATCAAAATAGGGAATTATATCAAGGAGCTGTAAACATTGATACAATAGTATTGTCTCATCCATGATTCTCATTAAAATGTAGGGAATATCAAGGAGCTGTAAACATTGATACAATAGTATTGTCTCATCCATGATTCTCATTAAAATGTTACCAAGTTTTCTAATGTCCTTTACAGCTTGTTAAGATCTAATCCCAGATCACACATTGCAATTCATGTCACATATTTTTATTCTCCTTTAATCTGGAATGATTCTTTGGTCTTTCTTTGTCTTTCATGATTTTGATGTTTTTGAAAAGTACAGGCCACTTTTTTGCAGCATGTTCCTCAGTTTGGGTTTATCTTATATTTCCCCATGGTCAGATTCAGATTCTGCCTTTCGGGCAGGAATATTGCAGAAGCAATGTTCTATCCTTCTCAGGACATCATCTCAGGAGGCAAATGATGTTAGCTGTCCTATTATTGCTGATGGTAACTTTGATTACTTGTTTAAGGTTTTGTTCACTAGGTTAATATACTGTAAAGTTACCATTTTCCTTTTATAATTAATAAGTGATTTGTCAGGAGATACTTTGAGACCATGTGAATATCCTATTCCTCATCAAACGTTTACCCACTAGTGTTAGCATCCTTTGATGATTCTTGACAGAATCAATTATTGTCATGGTTGTAAAATGGTGGCTTTCTAATTTTGTCATTCCTTCTACATTTATTGATTGTTATTCTGCTGGAAGAGAGAACATTCCTCTTCCCTTCTCATCCATTTAATTATATCAGGATAGACTCATAGATTCATATTTTATTCCATAAATATTCTATCTGATAATGAATATCAGCATTTATTTTGATGCTCAAATTGTCCGAGATTTGACCAGTGGGAACACCTTCAAACTAGCTCTTGTGTCCTTCTAACATGTCCTAATCATTTTTTGAGTGCTTCCTTGCTTTTTGTCACAGCAGTGTTCCAGCCTTTTCTTATATTTTCCCTGCCCCAACCCCAGCCCTGGAATCAGCTATTTCTCCAAGAAGCCTTGGTTCCTTTCAGTGAAGAAGGAAAACGTTTGCTTCCCTATCAAGAGTGCTCTAAGAAAGGCTCATCTCAGAAGACACCAGCCAGCTCTCCTCCCATCAGTTCTACAGGCAGATCCACACTAGAATGAATGGGCGCCCATGTTATCCTGTAGTGGGAGGCCCAGAGTGGCCATGCTGTTCACCTGTTTGGGAAGGAAGGCTGCTGAGGCATCTGGGGCCTAAAGTGGCAGATCCATGATTGCCTTCTACGTGAGATCCCAAGAAAAGATAGTCTTCAGCACCCTTCATCACACTTCTGAAATAGTGATGGATTAAAAAAAAGAAAAAAAAGGTTGTAGTGGGCATCCAAAAAACTCATAGAAATGAAACTACATATTTGAGTTTCATCCCTGTCTGTTAACATGTGTTTATGTATAATACTTATGGCTCACTCAGCAGCCCAAGGCTATTTATGGCATATGATTCATAGTAGTATAAAAAACAAGGCCTGTTCCCAGACAGGCATGCTTGAAATAGACCTTTCTCTTCTGCATCCCATCACCTGTGCTCATGTATTTATTTGTCAGCTTTGGTGACAAAGCACTTCAGGTTGTCCCCAACACCAGGGGCTGTCACCTTTTGCTTCTTCAGCTAAACTTACTCCTTACTAGGCAGGCAGCTAAATTTTCAGTATTGATTGCAGATCCCATTCTGAGAGCAATTAGGAAGAAAAGCACAACATAGCAACATCTCCACTGGGATGCTGTTGATGTGGGGGTGGGGAGGGAGTCCCTCCTCATTATAAGGAATTCTAAAGGGTCCTGTCTGTTGAGTGAAGGTATTGTGTGCTCATAATCTTGGTGATCTAAGCGGGATCTGTCAGCTGCCTTTCTCTTTTTTCCTGTTCCTTCTGTTTTAGCCCAAGAACTAGAATGTCTTTGTCACTCTGGTCCTTTGGTCAGGGGTTGGCGCTGGCAGTAGCAGCCCAGGTGGGAGACCAAGGGTAATCAATTGAGCTGATATGAGACACATGAATCTGGCTCTAATTAGATTGGATTCTACTAATTTGAGGTTAAAAGTATCTAAACCTGAGATCAGAAGCTGTGAAGTTACTGTGGCTTGCAACTTTAGGAGTTATTCAGATCCTTACCAAGTTTGGCAGGTGGCTGGCATGGACGTGGGGAAACAAGAGCTGCTGGTTTGTGCTTGGAGCATAGGGGATGCTCTCCCCCCACATCCCACACTCTAATGCTGGTTAGCAGGAATGGGCATCATGTCTGCATGCCAGCCTTGGCCTCTCGTAGGGAAGGAAGAGCCTGGCTGTTAGTTGGCAAGATGATAAGAGATGCAGACCTCTAGGTGATTGTTTGCATCTGCTCAGGGAGAGGCCTGGGGAGAGGGCTGCCATTGCTGCTTCCACACTTGTGACCTCCACGGGAAATAGAGCACAGGTGAGCTCCCTGTGGCATCTCATAGAATCCTGTCACTCAGCAAAGAGGTAGTGGAGACACTGGAGAGCTAGGCCCTAGAGGGAAGGGGGCAGGTGAGATTGGGCTTCCTGTGACTGTGGCCACTTCTGTGCAGAGAGATGCCTGGTCACCACAGAGTGTGACAGGCAGGTTTATCTAATTGCAGGCACTCCAGAGCTAAGCTCAGCTGAGCGGAAGGAGCTGGAGAACAAGTTGAAGGAGCGGGAGGAATTCCTAATTCCCATTTACCACCAGGTAGCTGTGCAGTTTGCTGACTTGCACGACACCCCAGGCCGGATGCAGGAGAAGGGTGTTATTAACGTAAGTACAATGGTCACCACTTCTCCTGACTTGTCAGAGACCTGCAAGCAAGTGTGTGTGTGTCATGCACATAGGAAGGCTCACAAGCAGGGAGCTGTGAGGGGCCAGATTAAAACAGCTTATACAGGCCAAACCATTTTCAATTTTGTTTTAAGAGACTTTTCCCTTTTTCTATATCCATTATTGTCCTAAACCAACATATGATTTAGGTTTTCATGGACCCCCTCATGGGGCAAGCTCCATTTTACCAGTGGGAAAGTGAGTCACATGTGCCTTCATTGGTGACAGCTGCCCAGGTGGTCCTTGGGCTATAGATTACTACAGTGTTGAAGTTACAGCAGCAGCTAACTCACATTTGATCTGCATGCAAGTTGTTTGTGTCATCTACTCAAAACCACTTGCTCCCTCTGGTTATCTGGGAATTCACAGACACCTCCCCAGAAAATCTCAGCCCTGTGTGGGGTTAGCATTAGCCAGGCCCATGGCTGTGCATGTTGCTGCAGCCAGCAGGGCATATGGGCTGGGGTGACTAAGCTTATTTTTGTCTGTGTGTAGGACATACTGGACTGGAAAACATCCCGAACCTTCTTCTACTGGCGGCTTAGGCGTCTCCTGCTGGAGGACCTGGTCAAGAAGAAAATCCACAATGCCAACCCCGAGCTGACTGATGGCCAGATCCAGGCCATGTTAAGGCGCTGGTTTGTGGAAGTGGAAGGAACGGTGAAGGTAGGTGGTGCACCTGTGTGCTGTGCTCACCCCCACTCTAGGGTTGCGAGACTTGTCATCTAAGAATCCACAGGCCCCCGAGGGCAGAACTGAAGGGAAACATCAAGGTCTAAGCCCTATTTCCCGTCCTCCTTCTCCCCACGAGGGTTGCGAGACTTGTCATCTAAGAATCCACAGGCCCCCAAGGGCAGAACTGAAGGGAAACATCAAGGTCTAAGCCCTATTTCCCGTCCTCCTTCTCCCCACTCCACAGCAACATGTCATGACATCTCATCAGAAGAGGTGGTAAGGCATATTTTGCAGCTCGTGATCATTCAGCAAACATTTTGGAACAGTTACTACATACCAGACACTGCATAAGGCCCTGGGGACATGGCAGTGACAGATGCAGATGTGGTTCCTGTCCACACAGAGTTCACCACCTAGAGAGGAAGACAGATAAGAGGTCATGCACAACAATGAGGCCATTGTCAAATTCAGCAAAGAACATAGTCAGCACAGAGGGAGGACACCCAGCCCACTCTTTGGGAAGGGGGAGAGAGTCTAGGAAGATTTTGGGGGGAAGTGATACCTCAGTAGATACTTGAAGATAAAGTAGGAGTGAACCAGAGGGCAAGGTTAGATTGCAAGAAGTGGGGGGTGTGTGTGTGTGTGCAGGTAGTTATGTTCCAGGTGGAAGGCATAGCATGTTCCAAGGCATGATAACAAGAGTAGCATGCATCCAAAGAACTGCAAATATTTTGGGATGGCTCAAAGATTGGGGACCAGGTAAGAAGATAGGGGCGGGGGCCTAGTCATGCATGGCCAGGTAAGCTGTGTGAAAGAGTTTGGACTTTGTCCTGAGACCTGTGGGAAGCCACTAAGGTATTTTAAACAGCAGAATGACATACTCTGCTTTCTGTTTTAGAAAGACCACTCAGGGGGCTGTGTGGAGGATGGAACTGAAGGAGGCGGGAGCAGGAAGCCTAGTAGGACCTGATAGTAATGTAGGCAGGAGATTCTATGAATACAACTAAAAATCTGATTTCAAATCAGAGCTGGAAGGAAATGTCCACCCTGCACACAGGGAGCTATGAATCCCAACATCTTCTCAAGGTGATCTCATGGAGAGCGCACATGACTTAGAGCAGTGACCCCACTGAGATGGTGTCCCCAGTACTCTTGCCCCAGGGTTGAGGGATGGGGCAGGTCTGAGGCCAGAATGACATAGCAAGGGCACCAGCATTTGCCCCTGGAATAGCGGGCTGCACATGGCAATCCACAGAGGATGGAGAAAAAAGTTAGAACTTTTATTTCTATTTAATTTTACTAAGGAAAAGAAATTAACCTTTATTAGTAGATAGTATATGGATTAAATCATATATGTCAATATACACCTCACTTTATCAGAATACTGGTAGTATATGCTCAAAATACATTGTAAATCTGGGGCTGCCTGGTTAAGTCACTCAGTAGAACATGGTGCTGATAACACCAAGGTCAAGGGTTCAGATCCCCATACCTGCCAGCTGCCAAAAAATTTTAAAAATTTGTGTGTCACTCAGCTGTGTGATTAGAAATATTTGGTGACTACTGATTAGAATATTGATGGATGGTTGGTGGTGGCTTAAAGGGTCCTGGCCCTTGAAGAGGGCACTCCACCCTCTTCCTGAAAAGTGTTGCCCGAAGTCTCTGCTAATCATTCTTAGGGAGGAACTCCAAGATTTGCTATCACTTTTTAAGCCAGTGAATTGGTGTGCTTCTGAGACTCACCTTTGTGTTAAGTCTGCCTATTTCTTTACGACTGAAAAGCCTCTTTGGATAAATATTTCAGATGTGCAGTGGGGGAGCACAGCCTTCTTTGACATTTGGTTCAGGTTAAGATCAGTCTGTGGCATAATAGAGTGAGACAATTTTGTCAGGGGCTACTAGCAGCTTCTAGTGGAAGTTGGCATTGAAAGTCATGCAAGTGTAAAATAAGAGATTGTTCTGCAGTTAAGAGTGGCCGCCTAGGTAAATGGAGAGAGAGAGAGAGTGTGTGTGTGTATGTGGGTGTGGGTGTGGGTGTGGCCATGGCCATGAGAGGCCTGCACTGCCTGCCTACCACATTAGCCGTTACTGGACATGCATGGCCTCAGTAGGCACAAGGATGAGGAGAAGGAATAGCTTCCCTCCAAGCATGAAGTGGGTAGATAGGCCCTCTACTTGCCACTCAGCATCCTACTACCACAGGGACAGTGTTTCTGAAAAAATAGGTCATTGCCATCTCTTATCAATGGAGAGAACAGCCGACTCTGTGCACAGCCTCCTGGCTAGAACTCAAGTGCGGAAGACAACCCCAGCCCCACAGCTCAGGAGGAGGCTACCTGAGGCACTGGGAGCCAACTGTACCCAAGAATTGAGGCTATTTCCCTTGCCTCCACCAACAAAAGATAGCATTCTCCTGAGTGCTCTCTATCTAAGAGGACAGCCGAGAAGAGAAATAAGGATGGGTGATCCTACGATGTCAGGGCATGTGGCTTTGAAATCTTCTTATATTCTGCAGGCTCAGCAGGACCTGGTTTAGTATGGGTGGGTGATAAAAATCTGCAGCGCCCTTGAGAGAAGAAAGTGTTGCAGTGTTCAAAAGCTGCCTAAGCTGCCTCTGAAGGGCTGAGGTAGACTCTGCTTGGTGTCTGCAAATGGCTAAAACCACCTTTTTCTTCTTTTGGTTCTTCGAACAGTGATAGATATTGTGTGCTGTGTCTGTCAAGTGCAAAGAATGGCTGAGTCTAGACCCTGGCTTTGCACCAAGAAGTGACCCTCTAATCCCTATTGTGGTTACTGGTAAGGAAAGACATTTAGTGATAGGCATCTATTAGCCATGCTGTGTGTTCTTTTTTTCCAGAGAATTTGTATTCTTAATCTTAATCCTGAAAAAAGAGATTCCAGGACAGAGAATTGAAGACACTGTGATGTTATACAACTGAGCAGTGTAATTCTTTTGTTTCCCTTAGAGGTAACTGTTACCAAATTTGTATTCTTAATCTTAATCCTGAAAAAAGAGATTCCAGGACAGAGAATTGAAGAAACTGTGATGTTATACAACTGAGCAGTGTAATTCTTTTGTTTCCCTTAGAGGTAACTGTTACCATGAGTTATAGGATTCTGTTTGAATCCACTGGGATAGTCCTACTATAAGAAATAGTAGGGCCGGCCCGGTGGTGCACTGGATAGTGCGCCGCTTGGGAAGCACGGCGGCGCTCCCGCCCGAGGGTTCGGATCCCACATACAGACCGGTTCCCGCTCACTGGCTGAGCGAGGTGCGGGAGCAACACCGAGGGTTGCAATCCCGTTGCCGGTCCCCAGTCCGGTATGGGGGCAACACTGAGGGTTGCGATCCGTGGCCAGACACGGAAAAAGACAAAAAAAAAAAAGAAAAAAAAAAAAAAAGAAATAGTAGGGTTTATGGTTCATAGTTTCACTGCAGGCAGAAGCAAAGCATTACTACAGTTCCCTGGGAAAAAAAACAACAAGAACTGTGGTTTAAATTGGGTCCTAAGAACATGGCACACATTTGTTTCATGGGCATGTTTTCTGTCTTGATTCTTGGATTTACAATTTGTGGTATGTGGTTTTTTCAAACAGGCTGATAGATTTTTTTTCCCCAAACCCCATCAGTAGAAATTGAGATTAGGACTCTGCATGGAACAATGAGAAGAATGTGAGTTTTGGAATGTCACAAACTTCTGGAATCCCAGCTTTGCCATTACAGCTTGGGCATATTATCTAAGCCTCTATTTCCTTTTGTGTGCAGTGGGGGTGATGTTTATGTCAAAGGGTTTAGTGAGTTTTAAATAACATAAGTATGGAGACACTCAAAATAGCTAGTTTCTTCCTCCCTCAGAACAGCATGTTAGAAGGTAACAAAGAACAACATAGACTAAGAGTTAAAGATGTGTAATGTAATGATCTTGACAGAAAAGGGGAGGGTGGGCTTCTGAGGACCGTCAATGCTCCATCAATGTTCTTTCATTTGCTCTAATATATCCACAGCCTAATGCCATAATGAGATATTATTGCTCAGGTAGCTACCAACTCACTCTTATTCTGGATTTCAAAGGAAATGAATGCTCAGTGGAGGTCATTGTGAGTATAATAAAGAAAAAAGCACTGTTAATAAGGTCACTTGATTTCCACTGGCCTCAAGCTACCCGTGGATAAGTCTCATGCACCAAACTTCTTACACAGGGCGAGGGAGGGAGGAGGTAAGGCAGAATCTGTAAAGCACCACTTGGCCCTTTTGTGGGCCTCGAACTGAGACAGGGTAGCTCTCAGGAAATGGGGGTCCAGTGGGCCACCCTAGCCACGTGGCCTTTTGCTACTGTGCTCCAAAGCCTCTGGGGGAAAAAAAAAAAAAGTCACATTGTTTCCTGAGCTTCTGTTGGGTAGGTCTTAGTCTTGTAAGTGTAGGTAGTCAGGGCTGGCATCCATCTGGTTGTGCCTGGTCATTCCCTGCCCCTGCTATACCACTGCCTAAGGAGGGCTTAACAGCCCTCCCATTTGTTAGAAATGAAACTTTACAAACAGGTCATTTAGATTTTGTAAGATAGACTAATTACTACATACAATTAGTGAGGCTAAGTAGTGCCTGAGATACTTATCTGCTGATGCAGGGAGAAAGTGTCCGTTGAACATTTATTGTAGGGCAGGCCTCTGTAGTGATGTTTAATTATTGATATTTTATTAGTATTAAAATACTCTTATTGGGATGAGTGTCATGCAGGTGACATATGGGCCCAGGCTTATCATGTGGTTAACAGCTCAGCATTTCATGCTTGTTTAAAATCCACACTGAGGGCTGGCCCTTGGCTCACTTGGGAGAGCGTGGTGCTGACAACACCAAGTCAAGGGTTAAGATCCCCTTACCTGTCATCTTTAAAAAAATCATAATAAAATAAAATCCACACTGGAATACTGGGAATGATCAGCCATATTTTCATAATCTTAAGAAGGGAAATTATAATGGTTTTTTCCTTAGGAATATGATTGGCCTGTTCTTCTGGATGGCTGGAATGATGAGTCTTACAACTCTGTTCTAAGAGGGCAAACAAGGAACTGTAGACTCATAAACCCAGTGAAAGGGAGCTTAAGAAGGGAAATTATAATGGTTTTTTCCTTAGGAATATGATTGGCCTGTTCTTCTGGATGGCTGGAATGATGAGTCCTACAACTCTGTTCTAAGAGGGCAAACAAGGAACTGTAGACTCATAAACCCAGTGAAAGGGAGCTTGCTTTTCCCAGGTGGAGCCAGTTAACTCACCACAGTGTATTAAGCCCTCCCAGGTCTGTTGAGAAAAAGCAGTGCACTATGGGTGCACACTTATTTTTGCTAAAAATGCTATTGATTAGGACTTGCAACCCCTTTGCCTTTATGTACTCTGGGCTGTGAGCCACACTTTATTGGGTCTTGGCTTCCAGTGATTGGTGGTTGTCCTCCAGTTGTTGTACTTTGAGTAAACAGCAGATCTTTTATACATGTATGGGCCTATATTTTCAAGCAGCTGTAAACTTGGAATGTGTCACTCTAATCCTCTCTGGGAACTTTTTTAAATGTTTAATTTAAACACCTAGTCTATTCTGTGGCTGCAGGAGGGGAAGGCAGAAGAGTGTTCTCTAGAGGGCGGCCGGCTCTCCATTGCAGCATCTGAGCATCGTTAGAAGAGGCATCTCGTTAGCTAATACATTACACCAATCAAGGAGAGTTATCTTAAGCCACAATTAATCTGCTCCCTGGCATATGTTGATAGGAAAGCATCATGCTGTTTCTTAATTAAAAGCAAACGGATTAAAAATGATTAATAAGAGTATTAAATATTCTCCTAAACTAAAGGCTTTGGGATTCTTGGGTAAATTTTTTTTTCCCCATTCTGTAAACCAAGAAGCATTCATTATTTCATTTTTCCTCCCCACAGATCTTCCTAAGTAGGGGCATGTGTACAGGCACTAAAACTGTGGAGCAGAAGTCAGTTAGCATTGATGGAAATAGAAGCGTGGAAGTTTAGGTGGACATGGTTAGGAGTCCAGGGTATCCATCCCTATGTGGGGTCTGGAGCAAGCTGGGATGCCAAAGTGAATGCACCCAGCCACATGATGGGAAAACACTGCCGCCCAGCCCCGTCAGCGGGAACTGATGTTGGTAGTCCTGACCAAGGCACTGACAGGTGGAAAGGCCCACTCAGGTCTGCACTGTCCTGGCCACACCACTCTAGCTGCAGAGAGCTGATGTTTTTATCAGTGATTACAGAGGTGGGCAAATTTGGAGCCAGAAAAAGAAATAGAGAGCTAAAGGCACATTGCTGATCCTTAATCCTGGGAATTCTTAATCCTTCAAATGTAAAGGAATCCTTGAGAATTTTTAGAAATATGGAAATCAGTGAAATGACCTATAATAACTAGTCACAGCTAACTAACTCACCAGCAAAGTTAGGGATGAGAAGTGAGAGTTTGAAGACAAACAATTATTTTTAAAGGGATGAAAAAAAAGTTAGAAAACAGCCCTATGCTCAGTTTCTTACTGCTTGATGCCTCTTGAAGGGTGTGATGAAAACATTTCCTCTGTGCCTTTGCAGGCCCTGTAGTTACAGCTGTGGCTTTTGAGCCATTGCTTGTATACAGGTTTCCTATAGCCACATCTCAAGCCTCAGAGAGTCCCTAATGCACCCTCTTATTAAATTACAGTGCCAAACTCATTGTCATTCTGACTTTGACTTCGTTAGTGATAACAGAGAAGGATAGCGCACCTTTAAATGACGAGCTTTGTGTTTAATTACCCAAACAAAATGACATAAATATGAATGAGCCCTAATGGTGGTACTTGGTTTTCCGGAAACCATTAACAAAACGATTCCTAAATGATTTGTAAAGAAAATAAGAGAAGAGAGCAAGGAGAAGGCTATTAGGCTTCTAACACACTCCTGAATTATTATGTAGTCAACTACCTAGGAAATACTCAGCTAAATGATCTTGAAAAAAAAGGAGGCGAGAGGTGGTTTGTTGAGACTTTCTGGGTTATAGACATCTTGACCCTTTTGAATACTCTCATAGAAAATAAAGTGGGGGTTAGATTTCCGACCTGGTGGCTCTGCCCTAGCAACAAGACTTCCCTCACATCAGTCCCCACCCTCACATCAGTCCCCACTCCATGCCTCGTTGGAAGACAGTGGGCTCTATCTCAGGAGACTTCCATGACCAGAGGGTAGAGGCCCAGTCTAGGACCTCATCTGCCAGCCTCACTGGAACTAGACTTGCACTTTTCCTCCAAAAGCAAAACAACAAATACAGCACCTTTCCTCCGCATTCACACTTTCCTAAGTAATTTGGGCTTTAAACTCTCCCTCAAATCTGTCAGGTTCTTGAATTCTCTTAGTCTTTGTCAACTAGGTAGATCCCTAGAGTCTGACAAGACAGAGTTAGAGGTGAGCACTGCCACCCTCGGGAGAGCCCAAGTGGAAGCTTTGAGTATGCAAAAGGAGGAAAGGGAGACTGAAGCAGCTCCTGTCTGGAGGCCTGTTTCCTCCTACTATTACAACACCAACAGTAAAGGAGAGTTGTGAATATTATTTTTAAATTGAACAAGCTTTTGGAGTAAGCTTTCCAGATACTGAAGCATCAGGGTACCCAGGCTGGCCTGACAAGAGTCATCTGTTTGCAGGCCTATGTTTGGGACAATAATAAGGATCTGGTGGAGTGGCTGGAGAAACAGCTGACAGAAGAAGATGGAGTTCGCTCAGTCATAGAGGAAAACATCAAATGTATCAGCAGAGACTACGTCCTCAAGCAGATCCGCAGGTGAGCGAGCTCAGCAGCAGGAAACTCCTCTAGAGAAGTGCGGCTTAGTTCTTTGGAGAAGTTTCGAACAAATAATGAGATGATGATGCCTTACGATCTTTGTGGTCTCTTGCTGTTTGATACTGCTGTAGGTGACCCACCGGTACAAATATAGCCCAGCAGCACAATTCTTTCTCAGCTGCTAGTCCCCAGGGGTGCTTAGTAATCTCAGCTAGGTGAAGGCTTAGTTCATTGTGCCTACTTATCTCTGAATGCTGATACTCAAACTGGATGGACAATTTGGGGAGGAAAGCTGATGGTATGGCAGTCAAGTGTCAGCTGTATTCTTTTAGAGGCTTCAGTCTTCTCCATAAGAGGGGTGGTGGAGACTGCTGGAGCATTTTAATAAAATTATTTGAAAACACATCACTTAAAAGTTGTAAAACTAAAACCAGTACAAAGGACACCCCTTATATGAGGGTACTTCAGAAAGTTCATGGAAAGATTTGTATTATCTTTCAACTCTATTTTCCACAAACTTTTTGAAGTACGCTTGTATATCTGTACCCAGATTTACCTGTTATTTACATTTTACCCCATTCGCTTTATCATTTCTGATTGTGTTTGCTCTCTCTCCTATATGTTTTTTCCTTTTTCTAAACCATTTAAGGGATAAGTTACATCTATCATGGTGCTTTACCCCTAAATACTTCACGCATTTGCTAAGAATAGGGATATTCTCTTACATAGTAAAATAATCAACTTTAGTAAATTTGACATTGATTAAAAACTTTTATCTGAGGGCCGGCCCGGTGGCGCACGCGGTAGAGTGCGGCGCTTGGGAGTGCGGCGGCGCTCCCGCCAAGGGTTCGGATCCCATATAGAGACTGGTCTGCTCACTGGTTGAGCGCAGTGTGGGCGCAACACCGAGGGTTGCGATCCCGTTACCGGTCGCGGTATGGGCACAACACCGAGGACTGCGATCCCATTACCAGTCATGAAAAAAGACAAAAAGGAAAAAAAAAAAAACTTTTATCTGAAATCTACCACTCATAGAACATTGCTCATTTTGAGTTTGATGTTTCCTCGTGATTACACTTAGGTTATGCATTTTGGCCAGAATATTGCATATGTGATGATGTGGCTGTCACAGGGTACCACATCTGGAGGCACATGATGTTCATCTGCCCCTGATGTTAATTTCCATCACCTGATCCAGATGTTACTCGATTTCTCCACTGTATAATTACTGATCCCCTCCCTTGCACCTAATAACTAGTTAGTATGTGGGAAAACACTTTAAGGCCATGCAAATATCTTGCTCCTCATCAAAACTTCCCCCTAGATTTAGCATACACTAATGATTCTTGCCTATCCAGTCTTTACAATGAAGTTGCAAAATAACTTTCCAACTCCAGCACATCCTCCACAATTATCATTCACTCACCATTCAAATTCTATTGTAAGCAAAAGTCTTCTCCCCTCCCCTGTTCATTTATATATTATTAGCATAGACTAGTGAAATTTTTTTTTTCATCAATGCCCAAATTGTCCCAGATGTCCCCATCATTTTTGCTCAGGGTTATTTATTTTCTGGCAGCTGTCTGGTAAGGGGATCTGCATCATGCTGTTTTAGATTTTTTTTTTTTTTTAACTTCTTTACTTTGACAGCAAAATGTTTCACGTTCATCTTGTATGAGGATACTTCAAAAAGTTCTTGGAAAAACAGAATTAAAAAATAATACAAATTTCCAAGAGCTTTTGAAGTACGCTCTATTTGGCTTCTGGGGACATTTTTAATGTAGGAAAACAGCTCAGGTGAGGCGATGACTAAAGCGTCTGTGGTGGACTGTGTTAGCATGTTTATTCAAGCTGTTAGCAATTCTCAAGCTGCCCTGATGTAGAACTTCTGCCTCCATCCCTGATCTTCCTCTCCAGTTTGGTCCAGGCCAATCCAGAGGTTGCCATGGATTCCATCATTCACATGACCCAGCACATCTCACCCACTCAGCGAGCAGAAGTTGTACGGATCCTCTCCACAATGGATTCCCCTTCAACATAGGAATGGCTTCCTGGCCATCCCTGCCCTGTCTCTGGAGAAGAGGACTAGAACTGCCTTTTACAACTGAAACCACTGTAATCAGAAGGCATGGGAGACCCAGCACTGGAGTCAAAGTGGCATTTTGCTTCTCTTCGAGTGTTTCAGGTTGTGTATGACATCCTGGGATATAGGATCACAAAGCACCCACTGGTCACACCCATCCCATTCAGTATTTATTACCCTGGCTGTGACTACAGTCCCCTCTGCCTGCAGAGGACTGAAACCAATGAAGGGTACAAGCATGTACCATGAGGTCTTAGTACACAAAAGGAGGGCTGCCCTTCCTGTCCTGACAGCCCCTTGGCCCCAGCACAGGGAACTGTGAGGAGCTGCCAGGCAGCCCCCTCACCCTGGCCCCATGAGCCGCAGCCACAGGCAGCAGAGGAGGGCTGAGGTCTTGGGAGAGGAGGAAGCCTCAAGCCCGTTGTTTATTACCCCCACATTCAGCGTAGCACACAGTAGGCACTGGAGAGGAATCATTCCCAGGTTAACCACACCGAGGTACCTGTTTATGAAGAAAAATTAGGACATGAAATCTACCGCAAGCTCCATGGGAACTTAAAGATGGGGTCAAAACCATGACTCAAGAAGCAGAGAAAGAAATAGATCAAGGTATTATTCTTGATTTAAGGGTCTCAACCTTGAGTTAAATTCTCTTAGAACAAATGGAAAGATAGTTGACCTACCACCATCCTACATATCACTGCTCAACTAGCTGTTACACCTCACTGGGAGCTACAAGGCCAGACTGTGAGGCCCCAGCCGTCAGCCAGGGCTCCCACAGGCAGTGCTATAGGCTGAGTTGGCAGAGGAGGAGCCAAAGGAAACTGCCCTTTCTGTCACCGATGGAAACTAGTTACTCATGCCATAGGGTGAGTGGGCCAGATAGTCTCTCTCTTTTGGACTCAGAAGGTTGTTGTTATGAAGCCTGGAGCTTTGATAGTCACAAGAGGTTAATAGTGCCTACAGAGTCACTCATCCCTATTTCCAGAGCAACTCTCCTAATGGCTGACATTCCTACTCCCCTTGGGTCTTGTCTCTTCCCCAGAATGTACATAGGCAACAGGTATAGCAGGTCTCCCTGCAGTTGCTGAAAGGACCCTGGTGACAGCTGTGCTGTCAGCACCAGAAACTGGCCTTCCTGGGTGGGGAGGCTTGCAGGGAACACAGAATCCACATGACCTTAAGATTCTTCACAACTCAGTCATGGTGCTGCTGTCTACCAGGCTTACTGGTCCCTTCCGGCCAGCAGCAGGGGCCTCCTCAGGGGTGGTGGAGAGCATTTATATTCAGCAACTAGTTTATTCAAGAAAAAAGCTTACTGGTTCCCCCATTGGTATTCCTAAAGCAAGAGTGGCAGGTGATCAGGTAAGAAAGCATCCGGCTCCTGCAGTGCAGTAATTGCATTTGTCATTGACTTCCAAGGAGGAAATCACTAAAATATTTTAGGAGCAGTGGTATGAATACTTTTGTATAGCTACAGTTTTGAGCCTTAACCCTATAGTTCACATACAAGAAAGAGCTCCATCTACCCTTCTTCAGGACCTATTTGTTCAGATGGACTGGCTGGACTTCCCAACAGTTCCAGATCATAGATGGGAACTATACAGCTGGATACGTAGCCAACTGTCCCCAGGAGTCAGCACCTCAGCCAGGCTGCCCGGGTGGAAGGTGCAGGTGGTTAGCACCTTCAAAGAAGGGCATAAAAAAGGTGGGGAACAATTCTCAGTCCAGGAAGAAGACCAGAACAAAGTCCACGGTTACTGTGTGTTTGCCTACCTAGTAAGAACTGGATTCTTCTTTGACAAGATTATTCTTCTATACTTTTCTGCAATAAATCAAATCCCACACATCTAACAGGTAGTATGAAGTCCTATACTCCCCAGGAGACCTGTCCTGGCATCTCTTCAGAGGCAGGGTGGGTTACGCTCCCATCTCCCCACCAAATTATAACACAAAGGAACACTTTTCCCCTCTAGAACCCTGTAATGCCTATTCCCCCATCCCCAGAGCTCCTCACTTCAGGTCTTAACCTGGATGGGGATTTTTCATATAGAAAAGTCAGAAAAAGCCACAGAATGTGTTCAATCTGATATTCCCACAGCCCATTACACATGCAAGGTTACTGAGGCAAGAGAAGTGTAAACATCATATTGACTAGGACTTGCTGAACTGAGATTGCCATATTATCTGTTCACTTTACTCACAAAGCAGCCTTCACTTGTCTCAGTGAGAATTCGATGGGCACATCCCCTGATGAGCAAGGAGCTTCAGTCAGGTGCACTTTTCACATTTTGTTGAAATAAACCTCCACATTTGTAGAAGAGTCACAGTTTGTCATTTCAACCCATGCCCAGTCACCTCATCTCTTGTTCCACTTTCAGCAGGGGGGACAAGGTCTCCATGGTGGGTGAGCCCCTCCATGGCCCTGCAACACCTAACCCACTCTTTGCCTCCTGAACATGCAGAAGAATGAACAGGCAGCCAGTAAAAAACTGGCCTCGAACAGCCCTATCCTGTTGGCCGAATCAAGGTAAAATTCTGCAGGGCTATCAACCTTCTGGAGCCTCCATAGCTGAGATTCAGTTCTTTAGTTCCTGTTGTGTTTTTCAGGATGGGAAATACCACCTGCTGAGAGGAGCTGGATGGGGGTCCTGGTGGGATGTCCCCCAGAAGAGAATGGGTTTAGGGCAGGGACAAGAAAGGCCACAGGAGGGTGGAAGGGGGCGGGAAAGGCCATAGGGAAGAAGGAACTCAGGGATGGGAGTGCTGAGCAGAACCTATTTAGTGAAGATAACAGCTCCAAGAGCCCACCTCCCAGCTCTGAGAAAAGCCACCCAAAAGCCTTGGAGGCCGTTAGCCTAGTCTCTCAGAAGTCCCCTTCCCTGCACGCAGGATGTTGAGTGTTCTCATATACTCAGTGTAAACAGTGGGGGCACATGGCCGTTGTAGAGATTTTTAGGGAGAGGTTGTGTGTGTGTGTGTGTGTGTGTACGCCCAAGTTTTATGTATTAGAAACTTCAACATTTTTAAAATTTAGCTACTCAATGAATTTGAACTCTGAGCACAAAAGGCAGTGGGGGCAGGAAATTCATGATCGTGAGCCTTCAACCCTCTGTCTTAGTTTCTCTCTCTGAAAAAGCTCTATATGAATCCACGTAGTTGCAGCAGGAATGAGCACCAATCCCTGAACAAAGGTACAGGCCACAAGAAAGCTGGGAAGGGAATTACTGGCCTTAGCTGATTATTAAACTCAATGCTGTCTGTCTCTTTGGGATGTGTGGCAAGGCAAAGGGTGGCTTTTGCTAAAATGAAATACATTTTTTAAGTTAAAAAAATATCACTTTGAATCACTGTAAGCCATATGTTCTAGAAAGGGTATGTATAAGAAGCAAGATACAGGATCAGTGGGAAACTTGCTCCTCTGTCTCCAGCTACTGCACTTTATGGGCAGGGAATGCTGGTTGCATAGAGGCCTCAGCTCTCTTCCCTCCTCTCTAAGCAGGCAGGTAAGAACAGGCCCCAAGATGTGACTTTGGGCATCCCTACTTGAAGCCAGCATCTATTGATGGATCTGGGAAAAGTTGGCAAGATTAATGGGGAAAGATTCCGCTTCAGCCCCTGGGAATTTGCCTGTTGCATACAGAGCTTCCTTCTGCTGGAGAGTGATACCCTTCAGTCTCTTTCATGAAAGAAAATGTAAAGCCTCCGTTGGTATTACCTTGGAGTAATAAGGAGAAGATGAAACAGTGAGGGTTCTGTGATCTAGTCCTACCTAGGCCCACGTCTGTTTTCCCAACTGAAAAATGAGAACAGTGATAAATGCTGATGTGAATGCCTACCAGACATCCAGGGAGGATCTTTGCTGCACTCCTCCTGATGTACAGGCTAGTAAGCCCAGGCCACCCACGGGAGGCACAGAAATAATAATGGGTCACTATCGTCTGCTTTCAGTGCTTCAGCTATGCTGTGTGTGCCTGAGTCAGGCAGCAAAGGCTCACTATGCCCTTGTCTTTGTGCTGACTCCAGTTTTACTAACCCAGGAAGTGTAGTACTGGTTACCTCATGCTGGCCAGAAGCCCTAATGGGCAGTTAGTAAAGAAATAATGATAATAGGACATCTTCATAAATGCAGTATTTTGGTAAGCAAAATCTTACAAACATTGAATTCCCTGTGGTTGGTGGAAGGGCAAAATGATAATGGAGACTGAGACCTGAGAAGACCTGGAACCACACAGTGGGCTCAGCCCATTAGGAACTGTAAGGAGATGGGGCAGTGGAGATGAGCTAGGGCATGGAGGGGGTTGAGCTGGGTCTAATACCAAACATTTCAGTTCGGTAATTAGCCTTCTAGAGTAGGCAGGAAGGACAGGGTGAAGAGGAACAGAAGCTACTATAAAAGTCCAGGACCTGGATTAGGAAAAAACTAATCACTTTCTTGCCCATACTAACAGGTCCTTTCATAACCACTTACAAGAGCAGAGACTTTGGGGTAAGCCTGAGCTGAGTTCAAATATCCAGTCCTCAGGCAAATTCCTGACTCCTCATCTATGAAATGTGGATAAAAATAAGGACCTCAGTGGGGCTTTGTAAAAAATTACATTGAAGTAGTTAACACAAATCAAGTGCTGAGTGTTAGTAGCAAATTCTCAATACATGTCGGTTTCTCCATGCCCTGTCCCTTCCTTATTTTCACAAGATTGGCAACCTGTCATCACTCAAGAGTACTTCCTCATAGGGTGCCGTCAGAGAGCCACCCTCCTGGTGACAGTAGGATCTAGGATTGTCTCTAGAAATTGAGTTACATGGACACTAAGCAGAAGTGCCCCTGAGGAGTAGTACAGGGAAGTCAGAGGCTGACCTCTATGCCTGGCTGCACTCATGGACTTTCTGGAATCTTGCTTTCCCTGGAATGTAGAAGGAGAGAGCAGAATGAGAAGATCCCTAAGATCTCTTCCGGCTCAAGAAAGATTCTTATCTGGATCGTGGGTGAAGCTGAAATATGGATAAAAATATTCCATGCCCACTGGCAACGTCAGTAACAGTGGGAACCTCAATGACAAACATATAGGCAAGAATAGTGGCTCAGCCAGCCTGAGGTTGTGGTCCTGGTTGGCTCAAACAACAGACCAGCAACCTAGCCATAAATTTAACAGAAATGGGACAGCCATAGGGGGTCCTGGTAAGCTCTCCACATATCCACTCAGTAGAGACCAGAGAGGGTCCAAGCTATTCATACAATCCTTAAACTGACTGTGAACATGTGAGCACAAAAGGGCCCATCAGAAGTAAAAGCCAGCACAGACTTAAAAACTGCCTACGTTTTAAATACAAGATTTAAAAAAAAAAAACACTGAGCAGAAACATTGCTGTCTGCAACCATGGGAGAAACAAAAGCCACAGATTTAGTCAAGTTATTAAGGAAAAAAATATGCAAGAAGACTTTTATGGAGGAAAAAACAATCCTAGTTCCTACAATGTATTATCAGAAATGTCCAGTTTTCAAAAAAATTGAGACATTAAAAGAAAGTATAAACCATCCTCAAGAGAAAAAGCCAACCGAAACATTTTTTTGTGGGTTCAAATGTTGGACTTAGCAGCCAAAGACTAACTATGGCCAAAGAAATAAAGGAGGCCATGTTTAAAGAATTTAAGGAAAACGTGACAACAACTTAACCAATAGAGAAATCTCAAAGGAACAGAAATTATTTTTTAAAGTAAATTCTGAATGAATTTCTGATATGTACTACAACATGGATGAACTTAAAGACATGCTAAGTGAAATAAGCCAGACACAGGGCCGGCCCATGGCTCACTCGGGAGAGTGCGGTGCTGATAACACCAAGGCCATGGGTTCGGGTCCCATATAGGGATGGCCAGTTGGGTCACTGGATGAGCGTGGTGCTGACAACACCAAGTCAAGGGTTAAGATCCCCTTACTGGTCATCTTTTTGAAAAAAAGGGAAAAAAAGCCAGACACAAAAGGACAAGTATTATATGATTTCACTTATGTGAGATATCTGGAATTGTCAAATTCACAGAGACAGAAAGTAGAAGAGTGGTGACCAGGGATTGAGGGAGGAGGAAATGAGTTGTTGTTTAATGGGTAACAAGTTTCAGTTTGGGGTGATGAAAAGGTTCTGGAGATGACCAGTGGCGGTGATAGCACAACAATGTGCATGTACTTAATGTCTCTAAACTATACACCAAAAAACTGTTAAAATGGTCAATTTTGTGTATATTTCATCACAATAAAAAATAAAATTCTGAAAAATTGGCCAGAAGGACTAAACAGATTTGTGGGGGCAGAAGAAAGAATCTGTGGACTTGAAGATAAAGCAATAGGATTATCCAATGTAAAGAACAGAAAGGAAAAAGAATGAAAAGTGAACAGAGCCTCAGACTCCTGAGCAGTGACATTGGGCATACCAATACACTGGGAGTAATGGGAGTGCCAGAGAGAGAGAGGCAGGAAAAATATTTGAAGAAATAATGTTTGGAAACTTCACAAATTTGATGGAAGTATTAATCTGCAGATCCAAGAAGCTTGATAAACAAAGAGATCTATACTTAGATATATCATAGCCAAACTGTTGAAAGACAAAGAGAAAATCTTAGAAGCTAGAGAAAAAGAACTCATCGCTTACAGAAGAACAACAAAATGACAACAGCCTTCTCATCAGACAGTGGAGGCAGTGGGCTGATATATTCAAAGTGCTACAAGGAAAAAAAAGAAAAACTCTCATACAATTCTATATCCAGCAAAACTACCCTTAAAACAAGTGAAAGTGAAATAAAGACCTTCCCCCCAAAAAAACAGAGAATTCATTCCTATCTGACTGGCCTTATGAGAAATAGTAAAGAATCATTCAGGCTGAAAAGAAATGATCCTCAATAGTAATTCAAATCTGCACAAAGAAATGAAGAGATACTGGAAAAGGTAAATATATGGGTAAATATAAAAAACTGTGTGTTCTCTTTAATTTTGTTAAAAGACATAAGAGTGCATAAAACAATAATTATGTCACTGTACTTTGGGGATTATAGCATATGTAAATGTGATATGAGACAATCACACAAAGGAGGGGGTCTACATTAGAACCAAGTTTCTGTACTTTGCCAGAATTAAGCTAATATTAATCCCAAATAGATTGTGATATAATACCTAGAATAACCACTAAGAAAATAACCTTAAAATATATAGTAAATGCACCTCATATGTCTGATAAGAGGTTAATATCCAGAATATATAAAGAACTCCTACAATTCAACAAAACCAAATTACTAGAAAATGGGCAAAGGACGTAAATAGACATTTCTCCAAAG